GAAATCTACCATTCTATTACGTACATTAATTTCATTTATAACAAATAGTTGTCCTTCTAACCATTTTATGTCTAAAAACAAGACAACCAGTTTAGATTTAGAAACATCTGCATTATTCTTCATTTCTTCGTCGAAATCTTGGACAGTACTTGTAAAGACACAGGTATCATTATAGAAGAAGAGCTCGGGAGGAGAGAAGCAGCGGTACTGAAGGAAAAGAAAAGGGGAATTATCAGGAAGGACATCTTTGTCGAAGGTGTCGACAGTGACGTTGTGGTTCGCGACGAACAGAACTACGCTGAAGGCCGTGAGGGAGCCCTCCGTTAACATGGACTGCAAAACCGGGGCCAGCATGGCGCCAGTGGGAGTACGAGGGGGCAGCAGAGGGTGATACTTGAGGGCCGCAGCCCCTCTCCCAGCAAACAGCCACTGCAGCTGAAGAACTAGGCGCAAAACTGTTGTCACCCCGGCGGAAACATCTCGGTAACGTGGCACCATTTTCGCGACGTATTGTGCCAGACACACCTATCAAGACAGAATTTTCATAATGACAAGCTTAAGGAAATAGTTCACATCGTATCTAATTTTTTATCATAACGATAGCCGTTATGCCACCAAAGCTGTCGAATGTCGGAAATTATCCGTAATGAATTAATGAAGGCCTCGTGTTAAAAAATTAATGCAACTCTTATTTCAACAGATGTTCTTTACGACACTCGTTATAATCTATATTCAATAATTAAGAGAAAATAAAGAAGTTCTTGAAAATAATGCAAAAATTAATTTGTAATTTATTTATTAATGTATTTGTATGTACCCTAATCGTCCAAATAAATTAATAACAACTATGAAATAAATGAAATAATTTTATTACATACTTTATTATAATTAATAATTTTAGCAGCAACAAAGAACAATACATTGTGTTAAGCGCATTGAAACGTACGATAAAAGAAGAAATCCTCAAATTTATAATTTTATATATTGCATTTATAACATATTTAAGAACAGTTTAAACTCATTTGATGAATTTTACGAAAAAAAAACTCTCAATATGTTTTTATTTCATTTTAAAAAATTTGGAAAACACAATGTAAAATTTAAACATATTTCTCAGAAATAAATACATGTACGTACCTTGATATCTCTTCTTCGCTAGCGTCGTGAAAAGTGTTCAAAGTTGGTCATGAAGTACCGTACGTGAAGCCAAGTCGCGTTGCTTACACTTTCCTTACACTGTCAAAAGAATACATTTATATTTTAGATAGGTAGTAGTTAGCCGCATGTTCGCCCGTATCACTATCATCTTTCCTCAGTTCAGTGCAGTGCTGTTATGTCGAAAGTGGAACAATTATCTCCTTTAATACCTCCATACATTTGAAATGTGATATCGGGTAATGTCTGAAATATAATATGATGTATGCCTAAATGATTGAGTTGTAAAGTTTTATTCAGTTATCAATTTTTTGTATGTGTTTAATACGAGTGCTGCGTGTTTAATCGTATAATTATTCATAATTATCAATAATAACTCTTGAATATTCATAAATACTCATGATTGTCACTGACATTGCTGTCTTTATTCAACTAATGAAACGTTTATTGAAGATTATATAACTTATAATGGGATTATAGAACTTAAAATGAAGATTTTATAGTTAATTCAATTTTATTCTGAGTTGATTTTTGTCAGCGAAATGTGCCATTTTTTGCACTACCGGGTGTGGCACCTTTCATGTGAGGTCCCGTTACATTGACATCCATTGTGGGCCTGCTCCGTGGTATCCTTGGGTAAAAAATTTATTGTGAAAATGGAACACTGCAAATCTTGTTACGGAAAGCAGAAATCGTACCAGTCGCTTGCCCGTTGTCTCGAATTCTTTGCGCCTAGTGTTTGATTGAACTTTTTGACTATTGTGAACTCTGTCCATATTTTCTTCTATCTAGTGCTCCTCTGAACGTCTAAGAGATGGAACATCATCTGGCTTTTCAAGTCTTCTACAAAAAAGGGTTATCTCTTTAGCTCGTATTCTAGGCGCAATACGCTCAATTAACTTTAATAAATCTAAAAAAAAAATAGATATTTTTTTCCATGCAAACTTGAATTTGCGACTTCGGAAATTGCGTGGATCCATTCTCTTGCCTTTAGTTTGCGTATATCATCAACGAAGGATTTATAGCCTGGATCCCGTAATTATTTCACCGTCGCATGACAGGGTATGTTTACGGGAAATAAATGGAAGCAAGAGAGGAGGGCCCAGTATGTCTAGCTCTCATTTATTCCAAGCATTGCAAGATATTACATTCACATGTCATTCTAAAAGTAATAAGACAGTCGCAGAAAAGGGTAGAGCTCGTTTTCAGCTTCGAAATTCGAAATAAAATGAACTTTCGATAATAAATTGTGCATGTGTCAAGTAAGTTGTATGCGGAAAAGTTTCTTCTTGTGTTTTCAGTTTGTGAAATACAAAAATACTCGTATACACACTCCAGGTTCCCAACATTCGACCCAAACATATCGACAGCACTTTATTTTACTCGATGGTAACACGCTTCAAAAGCATTATTTATAATAGGTGACAATTTTTAATCGTACTGTTTGCTTAGTATTCTCTTTTGAGGGTAAGACTTGCATTTCCCTTTTTATAACTTAGTTATATAATAATGTTAAACTTTGCATTAAAACAGTGATCATATGCAGTATTTGTTAAAGGTTTTTGGAATATTCATTATGACATTTGATGCATTCAATCTTAAAAAAAGAGATTTTTTTATTTAACAATTCAACCTTCGCTATCCATTGTTTGTTAACCGGGAATTCAACTATTGAATTTGATTCATAATGAAAAAGATTTAATGAATGTCTTGAAATAAATTGTCGCTGGACTAGTTTGCAAAAAATAAAGTAGATGTGCTGAACCAGCTCGTACGTTCTTGCATTATTTGAAACAGTTACGTAATATTATAATATTACTTTAACATACTTTTGGGTAATTGTAGACATATACATTGGGGTAAGTGCAGATAATTCAACGAAAATTTGACCGGCGCCATTTTTGGAAAAATAAATAAATAAAAAATGAATATAAATAAATATACATAAATATAAATAAATAAATAAATAAATAAATAAATAAATAAATAAATAAATAAATAAATAAATAAATAAATAAATAAATGAAAATATTGAGGCTTTCTGTAAAGTATAACCAAATATCCATTTCAAATTCAAGGTGCCGTGACATAAGCCATCGGGTAATCGGGTAATTTTCGAGACATTTTTGAGAAAATCCTGCTACCCGGTTTATTCGCCAGTAGTGTTGTTCACAGACGGACGAACTGCTAGACGAACGCACGGTCTGTCTGTCAGACGAGCATCTTCAGCTCAGTTGAGGGAAAATTAAGTGGACTGTGGTTATGTTTACATACTGAGCGGCTTCAGGGAAACATTTCGGGAATGTTCAATGTCAATAAATGTGAATTTATGTACGTTTTATTAATGCTTTAAAACATACAAGCAATAAAAACAGTTAAAGTTTGTTTCAAATGCTCCGAGGACATTGGTGGATTGTGATTTTACAGAGAGTTTATGCTGTCCCCTTGACTCTCGCAATACTGATGGGTCTTTCTTGGGACACACTCACAGAATCGGTACTTACAATTTGATGTCCAGCTGCAGCTTCCCAGATCAAAGATTTCGGATGAGATGAATGTGGTTCTTGAGAAAAATAGCGATTGCCATGAACTGGCTGCAAAGCAATTTTTTCGCAGATGGTACATGAGGAGAAGGGTTTGCGATAAGAAACGAGGAAGTGTTTAGTGAGGGGGAGGGTGGTTTAGTGAGGGTGAACGTTCGCAGGTGCAGAGAAGACGAGCGGCCACTTGCGTAGTCTTTGACTCGGAAGTCAAAGCGGCGCGCATAGAGGCTCTTCGAAGAAGGAGGGAGCAAGAAAAACCGTTTGTAATGTTAACAATAATGGAGTCGTTGCTGGACGAACACTTTGGTGCGCCTTTCTCTGGTCAAAGTTATTGTATTTTCAAGATGGCGGAAGACAACCGGAAGTGATCGTTACGGAAGAGTGACCGCACGCGCGTGTTCAATGAAGCCGAAGGGAGAGGGCACAAAGACCCTACTAGAAGGTCTTGAAGATTCGTGAGAGTGACTGCGTGGGGGTAGCGACGGAGAATGAATGGCGTGTTGAGAGAATTCTAAGCGTTTCCGCTCTGGCGTTCGCACGGCGTTATGTAAGCTGGCTAAAGCGGTGGGGTACAGAAAATGTGTCGTGCATTGTGGCACGGTGTGTCGTGCATTGACAAACGAAAACTAGTTTAAGTCCCATTGTTCCCTGTTTAGAGGGTTTTATATCATTTTCGGATAAAGATGTCTGGCGTGGTAATGCAGGCAATCGGCGGATGCCGTAAATTTGGTGCGGTATTGGACGAACGGACGGACAGACGAACTGACGGACAGACGAACTGACGGACAGACGAACTGACGGAACACTTTTTTCATCGACCTGTTTTTAAAATAATGGCTTCCTTCAATTTCCCTCTTAAAATTTTCTCTCCAATATAAAGCATACTGCATAATTATAGCACAAATAAGGTCACATTATAGTAGTTTATGCTACTAGTTCATAAAGCAAAGTTATGAACGTGTTGCATAAGCAATTTTTTATAATTGCATTTATAAGAGAATGAAAGTAAATTTTGGGGAACAATATTATTATGACGCCTCGGGTACGGGACACACGTGCGAGAATATGGTGGTCGGCGAGAATATGGTTTCGTTTACCCGTATCTCCCCACGATTCTCTCTCTGCGATTGGCCGAATCTGTGAAGACGCAATTATTCGTGCCATAAACGGCAAATACGTCATAGCCTGTACCGTATGAAGCCCTTTTACGAACAATGTCTTGTAACGAGAAAGCTCGTTTATCATTCTGAAATACAAAAAAAAATTATTTTACATAACACAAAGACAACCAACACAGTTTTGAAAAATTGTTTATTAGATTTATTTTGTTATTTTTGTACTATTGTCATTTTTAGAGTACAAACAACTTTTCAAAAACAATTTCACATTAAGATTGGACAAAAGTTCAATTTTCATTAGTGTGAATGATGTGAAACTCAAAATCAGAACCAAATTTGCAATGTCTTTTAGATGTTTTGGAGTTTTATATCAGAAAGCAACCAACTTTTTTATATAAGTGGGGTCTTGATCTTAATTTTATTACTCAGTCGTGTCGGCGCGTATCCGGGTATCGCCCTTCAGGCGACATCTTACTCATCAATGACTGATTCCTTTAAAATTTCAGTGTCTCCTAGGGGGTCGATGCCGACCCTTTTGAGAAGCCCTGGGTTTGACTCTAGGCTTCTAAAGACACCATTATTTCAGTACTATCAGAGAGTTTCCTTTTGCCTTTTTTTAAAGTTTCGAACTCTCCTTTGCACCTCAAATTAGGTTTGTGTGCTGCGGCGATCCCATATCGCTCTGGCCGTCCTTCCCTTCGCTTACGAGGGGCCGCGGCCCCCGTCGTTACCCCACGTGGAGATGAAGGGGCGCTCCTCTGTGGGGCACAGAAAGCGGGAGAACGCTGGGTCGGGGAAGGTGGTCGACTTCTCGTCGTCAGACTCCAACAAGTTCATCCAGAGGCCGTTCGCTCCTGGAACATAAGAATCTTCATGACACTTATGGCACTGGTGGAATAATATAAAAGCAACCAAATTTTAGGTTCAGTCGGGGTTAATGTAATGGCAAAACTTTGAGGCTAATGAGACACACTTTATTAATTGTTATTTATTTATAATCAAAATTAACAAAAAATAGCAAATAATATATCATATATTCTATTATTAATGACCATATAGCAGAGACTCAAAATGTTACATATTTGGGCATCGCAAAAGAGAAAAAAATACTATTGTGGCTAGGGGCATATTTTGATGACATAAAAAATATTTTTAGAGATCAATAAGATATTCTTTAAATTATTTTTAAATGTCTTAAAAACATAGAAAAATGACGTAAAACTTGATTAAATCCTCTTTACGTGAACAACTCATTCCTTTGGATATGTTACTGATGTAATCGAGGCTTCTTCCTTTGGGTCAAGTGAACTCACCTCTCCAACTTTTGGTTTAGACTGTTCTTTAAAAGAAATTATCTGCCTTAATTTGTCGCGAAATCGGCCAAACTGATAATGGGGCGCCGATAGGTGGTACAGAAACCTTAGATTACATAGTACAACTGCTGTCATTACAATATTATAACGAAGAAATCGAATACTCGTAAATTCTGTGGTGAACGTTTGTCGCATCTGGTAAATAGTTTGAAGCAAGTCCCATTAAAATGATATTAAAATCCATAAAATTAGCGGAAAATGCATTAAAATGACTTATTAGCCGAAGTCGACGAAAAATACGAAAAAAAGACATCAATATGTGTCAACGGCATCGTTCGGAAGTGAAAAGAAACCTAGTGGTAGTACACAATGGCACAGACTTTCTGGTATTAGTTTTCTATTTCCTTTGCTATAGTGAGACATGG